GTTCCAATGCCACCATAGTTCCTTGGAGGCTGATTCCAGCTTGTCTCAACATCATCCCCAAAATAACGAGAGCAAAAGTGGGATATCTCGTATAATATAAATGCCTCAACAATTGATGCCTCGACATGATTTTTATTTCCTATGGTACTTTTAAGTTTGCGCATGCGCCTGAAAAGAAATACTGATAAGATTAATTTACAAAAAAGTAAACAAAAGTAAGTTTTAAAATTATCAATCAATTTCTTTGTATGTTTTACCTTTCAAATGGGTACATCCAACGAAATTGAACAGGACCACCAACCATGGCCTCATATGGAAGATGAATTGCTAGATGTTCCATAAAATCAAAGAATGCTGGGGGGAATATTATTTCTAACTTACAAATTATTTCAACAATCTTTGCCTCCCACTTCTGCATCTCAGTAACTTTAATGATCGGGGAACAAAGTGAACGAAAGAAGTTACTAATGTTGGTCAAAGGACCCCAAATAGCAGATGGCAATAAACCACGAAAAGCAACTGGAATTAGTCGTTGCATGAAAACATGACAATCATGACTTTTCATCCCAAATAACCTAGACTCATTCAAGTTGACACATCTTGATATGTTGGAAGCAAACCCATCTGGAAAGTGCAACTATTTTAACCATGCACATGGAAGCTTTTTTTTTTTCAGATGTCAGTGCATAACTAGCATTAGGTTTCACAAGCTTACCATGCGTATTATATCCCATGTGCAGTTTTCTTCGGTCACAATAAATGGCTAAATCCAATCTTGCTTTCTCATTTTCTTTTGTCTTATTGTCATTCATAACAGTGTGTATTATATTATCAAAGAAATTTTTCTCACAGTGCATTACATCAAGATTATGTTGAATAAGATTATTATGCCAATAAGGAAGCTCCAAAAAAATGCACCTTTTCACCTAATTATGGATGTTCCCAAAACCCTCAATTGTTTGGTTTTCTAAGGGTTTCCCAAACAACACATTAGGAAGGTTTTCAACTCGGTGACGCATTGAAACACCATCCAATCGAGGGAGGGGACTACCTAATTCAACCCGACCCTTCAAGAAATTACTCTAATCAAATCTAAAAGAATGTGAAAGAATGTGATTCTGATAAAAACTGACGATGACAATAAAAAAAACATGGTTTCCGACCATTTTGAAGATAAAAAGATTGTGTCATCTTCGTATAGTAAGGACATGACAATTGGCCATCAGTGCTCAAACCAGCCACCATACCATAACCCGGAAAATCAATTATGGTCCACATTAACATAGCCTGCATTATAAAGTTTTGCTTATGATAACTATCATATGTTTCTACACCAGTTGACCATAACATTTTCAAGTCTTCAATTAAAGGTCGAAGGAAAACATCGATATTTTTGCCTGGGCTTTTTGGACCAGCAATGGCCAATGTAAGAAAAGTAAACTCTGGTCGCATGCACATCTTTGGTGGCAAATTATAAACAATTAAAAAAACTGGCCAACAAGAGTAGGAGGTTGAAGAATGAGCCCATGGGTTGAAACCATTAGTAGTAAGATCTAATCGAACATTACGAGGTTCTCTTTTAAAAGAAGGATGCATTTGATCAAAATGTCACCATGCTTCTGATTGTGCTGGATGAATGACCTCATCCGTATCACCACAACATTTCAAATGCCATGTCATGTGCTCAGCTATTTTTCGAGACATGTATAGCCTCTGAAGGCGAGGTATTATTGGCAAGTACCAAAGAGAATTCCTCGGAATGTCCTTTTGTCTATTCCTACCTGGATTTCTCTGTTTATACCTCGCTTCTCCACAAATTGGACATGTAGTCAATGTTTTTGTATGCTCCCCATAGTATAAAAAGCAGTTGTTAACACAAGCATCAATTTTTAGATAACCTAACCCAAGCCCCTTCATATATTTTTTTA